TCTCTCTCTCTCTCTCTCTCTCTCTCTCTTTCTTTTTTTCTTTTTTCTTTTTTTTTGAGACAGGGTTTCTCTGTAGCTTTGGAGCCTGTCCTGGAGCTTGCTCTTTTAGACCAGGCTGGCCTTGAACTCACAGAGATCCGCCTGCCTCTGCCTCCCGAGTGCTGGGATTAAAGGTGTGCGCCACCACCGCCCGGCTCAAGAATGTTTCTTATTAATACAAGCAACAAAACTGTATATGTGATGATTTTACTTATCAGAACACGGATTGCCTTAGTCAAACAACCTCTCAGAAGAAGGCTTTAACACTGTCAACTCCAGAAGACTGGACATTGAACCTCCATTGAAGTCCACCTTTTGCCTGCTCCCACTGTTCCACCACAAAGGTAATTTGAATTTATTGTCAATGGTACCCGAATTTCAGACTGTAGTTTTCACAAAGAAAATCACAATTGTTAAGTATTTTCTGGCCGACAAACCTTCCCACCGACGCAATAATCCAAATTAGACCAGATCAGACCGAATTAGAAGCCGGCCAAGGAAAAAAGAGAGACCACCTGTTCCGTCGCTGTGGGCGTGGTCTCACCTTCCCGAGGGAGGGGTCACCGTTTGGCCCGCTTTCATGGAGGTGGAGTCTGAACTGCGGCCACTCCCAGGGGAGGGAGCTTGGAATGGAGTTTTCCGCCCAACATTTTAAGATGGATGCCAGGGGACTCGGGTGAAGCCCCCCATCTCAACAATTCAGACTCTTTGTATAAAGGGGTGCCGGGGAACTGAGGTGACGCTTCCGACCAAACAATAATGTGTCCGCAAATTCAAAGAATCTGATAAGACAAACTGGTCAAACTCATTGTTTGTCAGTGGCAACCTGGCTATAAAGACTGGCCCACCTGAAAGGTCTAACCTCAACCTTCAAGGCAGAATCCCCAGCCGGCGCCATATGAACCCGGCAGCAGGAGAACGCACAAAACCCGTCTGCGCGCGCCACCCCACGGCCTATGCGACTCCAACCGCCAATCAGAGGCGACGCTGGGCGCAGGCGTGCTGCGTTCTGACGCAGAGCAAGGTGGCGGCGCCCAGCCGGCTTCCACTCGCCAAGTTGTTTCGGGTTCTCTGTCCGCCCTCGGCATGTTCCTTCTCCGGGACCGTGGCCGCTGGGCCGCGGCGTCCCTCGGCAAACGCCTGCCCTCGTGTCGCCTCCGCAGCGACAGCGCCGCTCCGTGCCGCGCGCACTTCGATGTGGTCGTGATCGGAGGGGGGCACGCGGGCACCGAGGCGGCCGCCGCCGCTGCTCGCTGTGGCTCGCGGACTCTGCTCCTCACACACCGCGTGGACACGATCGGTGAGCAGCCCGTGGCCTCGGACGGCCTGAGGCCAGGGGTGGCGCGCAGCGGGGACTCTGCCGCGGACCGAGCGCGGGCAGAGTTGCGGTGGGCGAGAGCGGTGGGTGCGCGGGGTGCGGGAGCGGAGGACTGGAAAACGCGCTAGGTTGCTGGGTTAACCTTCCCGGATCTTCACCTCAAAGACAGGGTGAGGGAACATTTTCACGCCCGCTCGATTAAGCGACATAGTGCGCTCACCGAGAGCTTGTCAAGCCCTTGTGACAAATGGCGCCATTGAGAGTGTCGTGCCTAAGACTTGCTGGTTCGCGGGGGTCGCGTACGCGCCACCTCTTTATCTCTTGTCACTTGACGAACATTAGAGTGATCGCATTTCTTGGTTCTTGCAAGTAGTGTTATTTAAACGTAGAAGTACACTTGTCGGTTCAGCACAATGCATAAATCACAGTCGTGCAAAATCTTTATTCTGTCAACTCAGTAATATATGTTTAAGAACATTTGAGAAGCCTATTAATAATTATGATAAATGAGTTTAATAAAAGCAGCCCTAATTTGAAACGAAATGATTGGGGGCTGTTGTTATTTTTTTGTGACAGGATCCCAGTGCCTGACTGATCTGAAACTTGCTGTGTAGACCAGTCTGGCTTGGAACTCACAGTGATCCACCCATCTCAGCCTCCAGAGTGATGGGATTTAAACTGTACCCCATCACACCTAGCCAAATACAGTATCAACAGTTCCTTGGCTTCCAGGAAGAAGAATGACTGTCTCAGAAGGTTCAGTCCATAGGAACACGGCGGGAACGAGCCACTCATCCTCGGCTACTCCCTCCTCTCTTTGAAGTTAGAGGAAAAAGGTTTTTCGTAAATGAGTCTAATTACCTATAGGAGCAACTCTTTATTAAATAATATGTACAAGGTGCTCGTTTATTTACCATGACCGTGTCCATTCTCTTTAGGTCAGATGTCCTGTAATCCTTCCTTTGGTGGCATCGGAAAGGGGCATTTGATGAGGGAAGTAGATGCCTTGGATGGTTTGTGTGCGCGGATCTGTGACCAGTCTGGTATACATTATAAAGTATTAAACCGGCGTAAGGGCCCTGCTGTGTGGGGGCTGAGAGCGCAAATTGATCGGAAGCTTTATAAACAGAACATGCAGGTGAGCGGAGGTGAGGACAGGAAGGACTGTGGGTCTCTCCAGCTGCTCTTTCAACTGGCCGTCTCTCTTGACAGAAGGAAATTCTGAATACGCCCCTGCTCACTGTTCAGGAGGGAGCTGTAGAAGATCTAGTTCTTACAGAACCAGAGCCTGGATATGCTGGGAAGTGCCGGGTCAGTGGTGTTATTTTGGGTATGTACTGGCTAATAATGCTCATCCCAGCAAACAGACCCTGTGAGACATGTGCTTTAGAGAAGAGTATGGAGATGTTTTTCCTATGCTGGGAAATTCTTGTTTTCTCTGCCCAGGTAAGGAAAATTACGGAAACAGCCCTCTATCTCTTCATTTTGTCCATCATGGATCTCAGCCAAATTCCGGGTTCATCAGTACTGTTTTAGCGTAAGACTCCAGAGCCTGCATAGGTTTATCTTTTTCACAGGTTCATCTGTCATAAATTTGTTTCTGTACTTGTTATTTTATGTGTGACGTGCATGTGTGTGTAACTTAGAGGACAGCTTTCGAGAGCTGATTCCCTACTCTCAACAGGTGGTTACCAGGAATGGAATTCAGGTCACTGGGTTTGGCAGCAAGCTTCTTTACCCACTGAGCCACCTCAACCATGTCCCCTTCTTTTTAATATCCCCCCCCCCCCCCCATATATCCTGGGCTGGGCTCTAAGAGTATAGCAGAGAATGACTTTGAAAAACTTCAGACTCACCTGCCTTTACTGTGGTAGTTTCTTGCAGAAAGGAAGGTGACCTTGGTGGGTTGGAGCCAGAGATACCACCTAGTCACACCTCTCACACGGGAGGTTTATTTGGGGGGAGGTGGAGAGGCATCCTTTGAGCATAGGCAGAAGGAAAGAGAGTGAGGGGGTGGGAGGAGTTGGCCCTACACGGGCGCATAAGGAGAGTGCTCTACTTGGTGTCTGCCATGGCTATAGTGTAAGGGCTCGTCTGCTGTTGATGACGTGTCTTACTAGGTCCCTGAGAGCAGGCCAGTGTAAATGCCTGAATGCTAACTCTGCCTCTTAAATGCTTTGATTATAGGCACGTGCTGTCATGTCTAATTCATGTCAAATTCCCTTCTCCCCACTGAGCTGCATTCCTATCTTAGTTAGAGTTACTGCTGCTATGACGAAACACTATGACCAAAGGCAAACTGGGGAAGAAAGGGTTTATGCGGTTTAGCTTTCATATTCGTAGACCATCATTGACAGAAGTCAGTACAGGAACTCAAACAGGGTGAGAACCTGGAGGCAGAAGCTGATGCAGAGACCTTGGAAGGGTGCTGATTACTGCCTTTTCCCCCAAGATTTGCTCAGCCTGCTTTTTATGGCACCAAAGGGTAGCACCATTGTTGTGATAGGCTGGGCCCTCCCACTTTATTCACCAATTAAGAAAATGCTCTACAGGCTTGCCTATAGCCCAGTCTTATGGAGGTCTTTTCCCACTTGGGGTTCCCTCCTCTCAGATGACTCCAGCTCATGGCAAGTTGACATAAAAATTAGCTCTCACAGTTCCTTATCATAGGTCTTTTCTAACTACCTAATTCCTGGGCCTTTGCAAGGAGAAACTAATTCAGTCTTCCTGTTTTCTCCTCTTCCCTGTATCAATTACCATTCTTCCAGCTACTGTCTAGTATTCAGAAATAGAATAAACTTTTTTTTATGAGTCAGGTCTCCCTGTGTAATCGAGGCTGGCCTCAAATTTACAAATCCACCTGCTTCTGCTTCCCTAGTATTGGTATTAAAGGCATGTGGCACCACACATGGCCTGTTTTATACATTTTTTTATTCCTTTAAGTTTCTGACAGTTTCAGAAGGATGAAGAAATCATGTCATGTTTAGCCGGAAGTCTAAAATCAGCTAATTTTCCTTTTTTTTTTTTTTTTTGGTTTTTCAAGACAGAGTTGTTCTGTAGCTTTGGAGCCTGTCCTGGAACTAGCTCTTGTAGGCCAGGTTGGCCTCGAATTCACAGAGCTCCGCCTGCCTCTGCTTCCTAAGTGCTGGGATTAAAGGCAGGCACCACCACCGCTAAGCAATTTTTCCTTTTTAATATTTTTATTTTATGTGTATGAATGATTGTCTCCATGTATTTGTGTACAATGTGTGTATGCCTGGTTCAGCCAGAAGAGGGCAATTGATCCCCTAGAATTGGAGTTATGAATAGTTGTGAACTTCCATGAGTGTCCTGGGAATTAAATATAGTTCTTTTGTAAGAGCAACCATTGCTCTTAACTGCTGATCCATTTTTCCAGCCAATAATTTTCTAAATGAACCTTCATAATTACACTGTGCCCATGTGATCTTAGGAACATGCATTTACTGCTTTTGGGGTGTTGTTTTTTGGTTAGTCGGGGTTTTTTTGTTGTTGTTTGTTTGGTTTTGGTTTTTCAAGACAGGGTTTCTCTGTGTAGCCCTGACTGTCCTGGAACTTGCTCTGTAGACCAGGCTGGGCTCCAACTTGCAGAGTACACTTGCCTCTGCCTCCCAAATGCTGGGTAAAAACGTGCACCACCACCACCAAGCTGATTTTAGGAATATGTGAATTGGTAATGATATATCATGTTTTCCCTACCACACTTTTTAAATTCTTGAGATTGATTACGTGTGTGTGTGTGTGTGTGTGTAGTGTGTGTGTGTGCATGTGCACACGCCCATATGCATCCAGGTATATGTACATGTGCGTAGTGGCCAGAGGTCAGCGTTAAGTGTCTTCCACACACTTATTTTTCTGTTTGTGGAGGCACATGTCTCAGTGGAAGTCAGAGAACAGCTTGTAGGAGACAGCTCTCTCCTGCCACCACGTGAGTTCCAGGGGTCAAGCTCAGGTCATCAGGCTTCATGGCAAGTGCTTTTTTGTCTGATGAGCCATCTTGCCAAGCTCCTGCATTGCTTACTTTTGGAAGCAAGTGTCTCTGACTGATCTTGGAACTCACTGATTCAACTAGCATGGCTGAACTGTCTCTATCTTCCCAGTGCTGGGGTCACAGACACTGACTATTGTACCCTACACACTTAACTTTCTTACTCATTTAAAATTCTTTGTCTTGGGTGGGAAGTAGGAAGGTGTTTACCTAAAGGCAAAGCTTTCAGTTATAAGTTGGATGCTTTCTAGAGATGTAATGTATAGGATGGTAACTATAGTTGATAATATAACATTGTACCCTGAGATTTTTCTAAAGGAATAGAGCATAGGTATTTTGAGGTACATGCATGCGCAGTAGCTGTTAGGTAGTAGGTATGCTAACTAGGATTGTAAGAGTCATTACACAAGGTGGACCCATAACAAAACACCATGATATACATCATAAAATATATCGTTTATTTGTTTATACCTTAATAAACAATTTTTATTTAAAAAATTGTATTCTGGCTGGGCGGTGGTGGCACATGCTTTTAATACCACCACTTTGGAGGCAGGAGCAGGCAGGTTTATGTGTTCAAGGCCAGCCTGGTCTACAGAGTGAGTTCCAGGATAGCCAGGGCACACTCCAAAAAAAAAAAAATGTGCTTTATTGCTGGGTGGTGATGGTGCATACCTTTAATCCTATCACTTGAGGGGCAGAGGCAGGTAGATCTCTGTGAGTTTGAGGCCAACCTGGTCTACAAAGAAAGTTCCAGGACAGCCAGGACTGTTATGCAGAGATACTCTATCTCGAAAAAAAGCAAAAAAAAACCAAAATTTTTCTTTCAGTTTATGAAATAAATTTATTAAAAATAAAAATATTTATTAATTAAAATGTATTTGTTGGGCTGGAGAGATGGCTCAGTGGTTAAGAGCATTGCCTGCTCTTCCAAAGGTCCTGAGTTCAATTCCCGGCAACCACATGGTGGCTCACAACCATCTGTAATGAGGTCTGGTGCCCTCTTCTGGCCTGTAGGCATATACACAGACAGAATATTGTATACATAATAAATAAATAAATATTAAAAAAATGTATTTGTTTATGAAAAATAAAATTTTCATACTTTAACAAAGTTTTTTGGTGGTAGTTTGGGTTTTGTTGTTGATTTTGGGTTTTAGGGTTTTTTGGGGGGGTTAGTTTGTTGTTGTTGTTTTTGTTCCTTTTTAGGTTTTTTTTGAGACAGGGTTTCTCTGGGTAACAGCAGTAGCTGTCCTGAAACTTTTTCTGTAGACCAGAATGGCCGAGAACTCACAGAGATCCATCTGCCTGTGCCTCCTGAGTGCTAGGATTAAAGGTGTGTGCCGTCATGTCCGACTACACTTTAATAAAGTTTTTAAAAATAACTAAAAATTCTCACATTTCTAGAGGCAGGAAGCTTTTCTGTAGTTCTGATAGAAAGTACTCACATCTGTTTTGTTCTAGTAGTTTACTGGTTTTGTTGTCTTCTGGTCATTTAGCAGATGGAAGCACAGTTTCTGCAGAGAGTGTAATTCTGACAACGGGGACATTTCTGAGAGGCATGGTCGTAATTGGATTGGAGACGCATCCTGCAGGACGTTTGGGGGATCAACCCTCTATAGGGTTGGCTCAGACTCTGGAGAAGTTAGGATTTGTGGTAGGAAGACTGAAGACTGGGACTCCACCCCGACTTGCCAAAGATTCCATTAATTTCAACATTCTAAACAAGCACACACCAGATGATCCATCCATCCCATTCAGCTTTCTCAGTGAAACAGTGTGGATCAAGGTAAGATGGTTTATGACAACCTATTTTGATAGCTGATGCTGGCTATTGATAGCAAAGGTATCCTATCTTTCTCTTCATTTGCTTTTATTTATTTATTTGGGTTTCCGAGAAAGTGTAGTTTTGGAACTTGTCCTGGAACTCACTCAGTAGACCAGGCTGGCCTCAGACTCACAGAGATCCACCTGCCCCTGCCTCCTGGGTGCTGGGATTAAAGGTGTACACCACCACCCAATTTCTTTTGTTTTTGTTGTTTTTTTTTAAAGATTTATTTATTAATTATGTATATAGTGTTTTCCCTGCATGTATGCTGCAGGCCAAAAGAGGGCACCAGAGCTCATTACAGATGGTTGTGAGCCACCATGTGGTTGCTGGGAATTGAACTCAGGACCTCTGGAAGAGCAGTCAGTGCTCTTAACCTCTGAGCCACCTCTCCAGCTCTTTGCTTTTTTTTTTTTTATTTCATTTTGTTTTTATTTATATGTTTGTATCAGTATGAGGTGTGTATTGCCTGTGGAGGCCAGAACAAAGTTTTGGAACCCCTTGGAGCTGGAATTACAAGAGATTGTGAACTGCTCATTCTGGGTGCTAGGAACTGAACTCTGAGCCTCTAGAAGAGCAGCAAGCATTCTTAACTACTGAGTCATCTCTCCAGCACCTCCTATTTTTCCTCTCTTTTATGTGTATGAATGTTTTGTCTTTATTTATGTCTGTGCCGTGTGAATGTTTGGTATCCAAGGAGATTAGCAGAAGATGTTGGATTCCACAGAACTACAATTACAGAGAATTTTGAACTACTGCATGGATGCTGGATATTAAACCATGTCCTTTGGAAAGCAACCACTGTTCTTAACTGCTGAACCAGTCCCATCTTTCCTCCCTTCTTCTTCCTTCCCTCCTTCCTTCCCTCTCTCCCTCCCTCCCTCTGTCCTTCCTTCCCTTCCCCGCCCCCCCCTCTTTTGAGGCTGGGTTTCTTTGTGGAGCCTTGACTGCCCTAGATTAGGCTAACCTCACTAGGCTGACCCAAAACACACAGAGATCCGCCTGCCTCTCAAGTGCTGGAATTAAAGACAAGTGCTACCACTGCCCAGTACAGCTGGCATTCTTAACTACTGAACCATTGCTCCAGTCCCCCACGTCTTTCTTTTTCTGATTTGTTTTGTTTTTGAGACCGGGTTGGTTATCTAGAACTCACTGTGTAGCCTGTGCTGGCCTTAGAATTTGTGACAGTGCTACTTACCACGCTCAGCTTCTTCTGGTGGCAGTTTATATCACTATTGCTTAGGGTTTAAAAGAATCTTTAAAAATAATAGCTAAGGCCAGTGAGGTGGCTCTGCAGATAAAAGTCCCTGGAAACCTCATAGAGGTGGTGAGAGAGAGCTGACTCCCAAAAGTTGTTCTCTGATGTGCACCTGAATGCAGTGGCATGTGTACCCACGCATACACATCATGCACACATAGCAATGAATAAAAATGTGAAAAAAATGAAAGTGTTAGCTCATTTAGCAGTTGGGTTTTTCCTGTACATTCTTGTGTCTTCTACATAACTTACTTTGTACAATGCCTTGGTTACTTTTCTATTGCTGTGGTAAGATACCATGACCAAGGCACATACAGAAGAGTTCATTGGGGGCTTACAGGTTCAGAAGGTGAGTGTGACCATCACAGCAGGGAACATGGCAGCAGATGTGGCGCTGGACAGGTTAGAGCTTAAGTTGTGATCCAACAAGCCTGAGGCAGAGAGAGAAAGCTAGCTGGAAATGGCCCTAGTCTTGAAACCTCAAGCCCACCCCCAGTGACACACCTCCTCCAACAAGGCCATACTTCCAAATCCTTCCCAAACAGTTCCAACAACTGGTGACCAAGTATTCAAATATATGGCCCTGTGGGGGCCATTGTCATAGAAATCACCACATACACTAATCTTTTTGAAAGTTTCAGATTTACAAACTAGAAAAACAGACTAGGACTAGGGAGATGACTCAGCAGGTAGAAGTTCCTGCCACCGAGCCTGGAGACCTGGACTCAGTCCTCTGGACGCAAATGGTGGACAGACAGACCCACTCCCAGGAGCTGTTCTCTGTCCTCCACACATGCTGAGACATGCGTTTATGCACACATACACATGTAAGCACATGTACAAAAATGTAATAAAATACAAGACTGTCAAGCTGCCTTTAATTCTAGCACCTGAGAGGCACAGGCAGGCAGATCTCTTTGAATTCCAGGACACCCAGAGTTGTTAACACAGAGAAACCCATCTTTGGGAGGGGGGAGGGGGGCGACAAGACTGTGATAACAAACTTTTTTATTTAAAAAAAAATTTAGACTTATTTTTATTTAAAGTATATCAGCTTTGCCTAAATGTGTGTTTGAAAGCCACTCATGATAAGTATTTTGCCATATTACCTCCCCATAAAGTTGTGCGTGTATATGTGCATATTTATTGTATAGCACAGTAAAACACATTTTGTTTTATGGAGCATTCAACAGTAAATGGCGCAGATTGTGAGCCTTTCTCTCTAAAGAATTCAATCTGAACCTCAACTAAATAGACATCCTTTTTTATAAATGCAGAGCAGTGTTGAGATTGAGGACTGAGCCAGTGCTGTTATTTAATAGGCGACCCCCGTCAAAGTCTCCTGATTTCCCATCCTCATCCTGATCTGGCTTTGTACAATTGGTTTTGTTTGTTTGTTTGTTTGTTTTGACGTTTATTTGTAAATTTCTTTGTATTTGTTTGCATGTTACTCATGCTCGTGCAAGTCAGATGACAACTTTTAGGATTTGGTTCTGTCCTGCCACGTGGGTCCTAGAGATTGCAGTCAGGTGAGCAGGCCTGGCAGCAAGTACCTTAACCTGCTGGTCCGTCTGGATGGCCCAACACTTTCTGCATTGTGTTTTTGTTTTTCGGGTTGTTCTTGCTTGTTTGTTTGGGTTTGTTTTTTTTTTTTTGGAGTGGGGGGGTTCGAGACAGGGTTTCTCTGTCCTGGGACTAGCTCTTGTAGACCAGGCTGGCCTCGAACTCACAGAGATCCACCTGCCTCTGCCTCCTGGGTGCTGGAATTAAAGACATGCGCCACCACCGCCTGGCTTGTTTGATTTTTGGATGAGGGTTGTGCGGAGTATTGAACCTAGTTTGCACATACTAGGTGAGTGCTCTGCCGCTGAGGTAAACTCCCTATCTCCACCTGTCAGTATAGTGTGTTTAGAAGTAAGGGTTAGGGGCTGGAGAGATGTTTCAGCAGTTAAGAGTACTGTCTGCTCGTCTAGTGGTCCAAGGTTCAATTCCAAGCACCCACATGACAGCGTACAACCGCCTGTCACTCCAGTGCCACGGAAACTGCATGCATGTTGTGCACACACATACAATCAGGCAAAACACTTGTAGACATAAGATAAAATCAAATCCCCCTGGGTAGTGGTGGCTGATGCCTTTATTTTCAGTATTTGGGAGGCACAGTAGGCAAATCTTTGTGAGTCTGGGTCTACAAAGTGAGTTCCAGGGCAGCCAGAGCTGTTACACAGAGAAACCCTGTCTTGTGAAACCAAAAGTAAATAAATCTCAAAAGCAATCGCGCTGAGTATTAGTAATTGAGGTCCCAGTTTCTCATAAACTTCCTGATGTGAGTAGCTCAAGTATTCTATTGTTTTGGGTCTGTGTGTGTGTGTGTGTGTGTGTGTGTGTGTGTGCGTGTGTGTGTGTGTGCGTGTGCTCACACTGTGGCATGCAGTAGAGATCAGTGGGAGTTCATTCTCCTCCCGTGTTGGTTCCTGGGGTTAAAATCAGGCATCAGGTTCACCTGTGTCTTTTTCTGCTGAGCCATCGCTGGCCCACTTTAATGTTTTTGCTTTGTAGGATGCAACTTAACACTGGCATTTTCTTAGCTTGTGTACTTTTAAACCTTTCGGTGACAGGGCTTTGCTGTGCACCCCAGACTGCCCTCCCATCCAGTCTTCCTGCCTGTTTCTCAAGTGCTTTAAATTTTTTATTGTAGCTTGTTAGTTTGGGTGGTTGGGGATGTGGCTGGGTTTGGAGGGCGAGTGCTTGCCTAGCATACACAAAGCCCTGTGCATTCCCCAACATGACAGAAACTTCTCCTTGTGGCGGATGTCTATAATCCTAGCCCTTGATAGGCGGAGGAGAATCAGAGGTTTAAGGTCATTCTCAGCTACATAGTGAGATTGAGGCCAGCCTGGGCTTCATGAGACCCTGTACTTTTTCAGGTTTAAAGCAGACACACACTTGTAATCCTAGCACTCAGGAAGCTAAGGCAGAAAGATTTGTGAGTTTGAAGGCTGCCTGTGCTACTTTGTTAGATCCTGTCTCAAAAAAAAATATTTCACAAATTTGGGAACTAGTATAAGGAATTAAAATTTAGATACTGTTGTGCTTTTTTTTTTTTTTTTGGTATATGCATGAGAGCAGGTGCCTGGGCATATGAGAAACATCAGATATACCCAGAGATGGAGTTATAGGTGGTTGTAAATCCTCCTGGTATCTATGCTGAAAACTGAGCCCTCCGCAAAAGTAATCATAGGTGCTTTTTACTGCTGAGCCACCTCTCCATTGTCTTCCCACCCCTGCTGTAAGATCGGGTCTCAACTGAATAGCTGTACCAAGACTTGCTGGAACTCGTGGATGTGTGAACCACCACATCTGGCTTGTTTCATTCCTCCTCCTCTTGTTTTTAGTTTAGTTTTATTTTTTAGATCGATTCTCACTGTGTAGCCCAGGCTGTCCTTAAACTGTAGACCAAGATAACCTTGAGCTCTTGGAGATCTACCTGTGTGTACTCCAGTACTGGATTAGTGGCTGTTTTAGAAAACATTTATTTGTTTGGGTGGATGGGTGCCTCTGTGCTATGACTCATACAAAGGTCAGAGGACAACTTGAGAGAGTCATTTATCTCCTTCTATCATGTAGGGATCAAACCCAAGTGATTAGGCTTGGTGACAAGTGCCCTTATCCCCTGAACCTTTGATTGATTGATTGATTGACTGATTGACGCAGAGTCTCACTATTAAGCCCTGACCTAGAACTCACTATGTAGACAGCTGGCCTTAAACTCAGAGACCAGTCTGTCTCCAAAGTGCTGAAATTAAAAGTGAGTGCCACCATGCCTGGCTTCCACTGAGTTGTCTTGGTGGGTTCTGTTTCATTCCTTCTTGGTGATTTTTAAGACATTTATAGATAACAGATCACTTCGTTTATATTTTCATGTTTTAATAAAGAAAAGCTCACACCATTATCACAATGAAACTTTGTTTAACATTGGGTTTTCATGAGAGAGGGTCTCGCTATGTACCTTTAGCACATCTTCCTGCCTTACCTTCCTAAGTACTAGGATTACAGTTGTGAAGCACTGAGTCCTACTAAAACATCATTCCTTTTTGATGGGTGGGGGAGTGTTTTCAAGACAGGGTTTCTTTGTGTATCCTGGCTGTCCTGGAACTCTCTCTGTAGACCAGGCTGGCCTCAAGCTCACAGAGACCTGTCTCTGCCTCCCAAGTGCTGGGATTAAAGGTGTGGTTGACCGCCACCCAGCTCAAACATCATTTTTCAGTGTCATCTCATATTCAATTTTTCCTAATTTTCTCAAATGTACTTATTTCTCTCTCTCTCTCTCTCTCTCTCTCTCTCTCTCGTGTGTGTGTGTGTGTGTGTGTGTATGTATGTATGTATGTATGTATGTATGTGTGTATATTTCTGCCCTGCCCCCTCGATTTCTCTCTCCCACTCCCTCTCAAAAGTGTACTCTGACTTGCATTTGGAGATCAAGGGCAGCTTTGGAAGTTGTTTCTCTCCTTCCACTGTGGGCTTCCTGGCACTCGAACTCAAAATGTCTCACCTCATCCCTCAGATGTGTTTTGCTTTAAACAGGAACCAAAAGAAAAGTGCACATACTACACTAGAGGACGTTTTATTTTTTTTTTAATATTTATTTATTTATTTATTTATTTATTTATTATGTATACAATATTCTGTCTGTGTGTATGCCTGCAGGCCAGAAGAGGGCACCAGACCCAATTTCAGATGGTTGTGAGCCACCATGTGGTTACTGGGAATTGAACTCAGGACCTTTGGAAGAGCAGGCAACGCTCTTAACCTCTGAGCCATCTCTCCAGCCCCTAGAGGACGTTTTATAACTACTGCTCCAACCCCTAGGCTTTTTTTTTTTTAATCCCGAGTGCTGGGATTAAAGGTGTATGCTACCATTTCTGGCAGCACCCCTAGTATTTATGTATAAAAGAAGTTAAGTCATTCCCCAGCCCCCAGAATTTAGCATATTCTTGATTTGCCTATTTCCTCTACCTTCTTTCCTAGAAACTGATAATTAGATTTAGAAACTTGCTTAAATTTAGGTTCGTCTTTTGAGTTGTGCTTATTGTTGGCAGGAATACTAATTATGCTCAAATTTAATGTGTGCTAAAGTAAGTCAGTATTGTGTAGGTTTTATTTGAATAAGAGGCAAATCAGTAAGTAAAGAAGCAAAATAGCTAGCAGTGGTGGTGCACACCTTTAATCCCAGCACTCGGGAGGCAGAGACAGCAGATCTCTGTGAGTTCGAGGCCAGCCTGGTCTACAGAGCGCGTTCCAGGGCAGGCTCCAAAGCTACAGAGAAAGCCTGTCTTGAAAAAACAAACACACAAACAAAAACAGTTATATGCCAGCCATGGTGCCCCACATGCAATCACAGCTGTCGGGAAGTCAGTAGAAGCTTCTCTACACGGAGCATTCAAGGCCAGTCTAGGCTACTAGAGACCCTGTCTCAGAGAGAGAAGCAGTGAAATCTGTGCTGTATGTGCTTTCTGTTTTCTAGCCAGAAGATCAACTGCCATGTTACTTGACTCACACCAGCCCCAGAGTGGACGAGATTGTCCTTGCAAACCTGCACCTGAATAGTCACATCAAGGAGACGACACGAGGGCCCCGGTAAGGACGAGAGGGAGTGCTTAGCCTCTTTAAGGAATGAGGTAAACTTTGTCATCACATTTACTTTCAATTTCAATGTCTTATTGTAGGTACTGTCCTTCCATTGAATCTAAAGTTTTACGTTTTCCAAACCGTCTACATCAGGTTTGGTTGGAACCGGAAGGAATGGATTCTGACCTTATCTACCCTCAGGGGTTATCTGTTACACTGCCAGCTGAGTTACAAGAGAAAATGATAGCGTGCATCAGAGGCCTGGAGAAAGCCAGAATGGTTCATCCAGGTAAAGAAGGTCACGGGTCTACTTCAGTAAACAGTGAGGTGGTCTTCCATTGTTGCTTAGTGCTCCATAAAATAAGCCAAAGCTGGACAAGGTGACACACATCTGTAATTCTCTGGGAAGCTAAAACAGGAACCTTTCTTCAAGTTTGAGGCGGTGTGTGGCTACATAGCAAGACCCTCTGTCAAAATCTGTATTAATAGATGAAACCCAGCGTGTATACATTTCCCGTAGTCTGATAGACTTTGTAGTTCCTCTTTGAGGCAGGTGCAGCGATTTTGGCTTACCTTGTGCACTGTTCTTTGGCCAGGCTATGGTGTTCAGTATGATTATTTAGATCCCCGCCAGATAAGTCCTTCTCTCGAGACACATTTGGTTCAGCGGTTGTTCTTTGCTGGGCAGATAAATGGAACCACTGGCTATGAGGAAGCTGCAGCTCAGGTAAGATTTGTTTTGTTTTGCTTTGCTTTACTTTGCTTTGCTTAAGACAAGTTCTCTCTAGGTAGTCTTAGCTGTACTTAAACTTACTATGTAGACCAGGCTGGCTTCAAATCACCTGCCGCTGCTTCCCAAGTGCTGGGATTAAAGGTGTGCTCTACCATGTCAAGCTCCAGGTAATAATTTATTCATGGGGCTAGAGAGATGGCTTACAGGTTAAGAGCACCAGCTGTTCTTCCAGAGGTCTTGAGTTCAATTCCCATCAACCACTTTGTGGCTCACAGCCATCTATAATGAGATCTAGTGCCCTCTTCTGGCATACAGGCAGAACACTGTATCTATAATAAATAAATAAATTCTTTTAAAAAGAAAGAAAGAATTTATTCAGGTGTTGCTATAAACCAAAAGAGACCATTTCATTATACAGATCTTGGATACAACAGTATTTCAGGCTAAATGGATATAGCTGTTGATAGCTGCTATATATAATACACTTGTTTTGTTTTGAAATAGGGTCTTGCTATGAAGCCCAGGCTGATCAAATAGAGACTCATGAGCCCAGATGAGCCTCAGACTTGCTGTATATCCAAGGCTGGCCTTGAAAGTCCAGTCCCGCTCTCACTTTGCTAGTGCTGAGATTACAGGTCTGCTTTGCCTCCCTAGTGTTGGGATTGCAGACATGTGCCATGGTGCACAGCATGTCGGGCATAATTTTGAAAGCATGTATAGTTAGTTTCTGAGTCCCTAGATCTGCTAGGATATTGAGGGGAAAAAATATGGAATTGCTTCTAAAGTGTGAAAAAATAACATTAAATTCTTTTAAGATTTTTGAAAATTATCATGTTGTTGTTACTATTTTGTCTTTCTGTGTTGTGTATGTGTGCACATTGTGTATCTTGAGGCCAGAAATTAGCATTAAATATCCTTCTCAATTGTTCTTCACCTTTTTTTTTAATGTATATGAGTGTTGTGTCTGCATGTATGTCTGTGTGCCATGTGTGTGCCTAGTACCTATGGGGGTCAGAAGAGGGCATTAGGTCCCGTGAACCTAGAATGCACATGATTGGCGCCACCATGTGGGTGCTAGGAATCAAATTCAGGGCCTGTGGAAGAGCAGCCTTAACTGCTGAGCCATTTCTCTAGCTCTCTGTTTTGTTTTGCTTTGTTTTTCCTATTATTATGTATGGGAAGGGAATATGTGCACATGACTGGAGCTGGAGTTGTTATAGGTAGTTGTAAGCTGCCCAGCATGGGTACAGTAAACCAAACGAGTTCTCTTTAAGAGCAGTATACACTCTTTTTTTGTTTGTTTGTTTGTTTGTTTTTGTTTTGAGACAGGGTTTCACAGTAGCTTTGGAGCCTGTCCTGGAACTAGCTCTCATAGACCACAGTATACACTCTTAACATCTTGAGCCAATCCCACCACCTTATTTTTTGAGACAGAATCTCTCATTTCACTCACCAGTTAGGCTAAACTGACTAACCAGTGAGTCTCTTCCTTCTTAGAGCTGAGGTTACAGGTCTGTTCCACTCTGCTCAGCCTTTTCATGAGACTGTTAGGTATCAAATTGAGGCCCTTACACTTTAGAGGTAGGCATTTTATGAAATCTTTTCAACCTTCCATAATATTCTTTACAACTGTTTTGGTCACTGTTCTATTGCTATGAAGAGACACCATGACCACAGCATCTTATAAAAGAAAGCATTTAATCTGGACTGGTTTACAGTTTCAGAGGCTTAGTCTATTCTCATCACGGGGGAGAACATAGTGGCATGCAGGCAGACAGTGCTAGAGAAATAACTCAGAGTTCTATAACTGGATCCACAGGCAGCAGGAAGAGAGAGATACTGGGCTTGCTTTGGCTTTTAAAAATTCCAGCCCATGCCCAGTGACACACCTCCTCCAACCTTCTAAGCCGTACCTTCTAATCCTTCTCCCTGATGACTAAGCATTCAGCCTCAGGGGGTTTTTACTCAAACCATCACATAGTGGTAAATTATATCTTTTGTGTGTTTGTACATGTAAAGAGCTAGAGAAGTCTCACAAGTAGGTTTATAAAGATTATCCACCCCCACACTCCCAATCCTCTGCATAATGAATCCTAGCATTCTAACATGTGTTCTGTTTCTGAATGTGGATCGCATTTATGTTCCTTATGAGCCTGCTTTCTTCCTACCCTGTATGTTTGTTTTGGTTTTTTGAGACAGGGTTTCTCTGTGTAACCCTGGCTGTCCTGAAACTCGATTTGTAGGTCAGGCTGGCCTCTAACTCAGATCCACCTGCCTCTGCATCCAGAATTCTGGGATTAAAGGTGTATACCCCTGCTGCTGCTGACCGGCTCTTCCCTTTGTGTGTGGTTTTTTTTCCAGGTTGTGTGCTAAATAGAATAGCTATTTGTTCAGTTCATAATGGCCTCTTAAACATTTCAGTCCTCTTATAGGGTGTGATAGCTGGAATCAACGCCAGTCTTCGGGTCAGTCGAAAACCACCCTTTATTGTAAGTCGTACAGAAGGCTACATAGGAGTCTTAATTGATGACCTCACCACACTGGGCACCAGCGAACCATACCGCATGTTTACCAGCAGGGTAGAGTTCCGTTTGTCACTGCGCCCAGATAATGCTGACATCCGCCTCACATTCCGAGGTAACTTAACCAAATCCTGTAAGGTATTGCACTGCTTTTTTGGGGTTTTTGTTGGCTTGTATAGTTGTTTAGAGGCAGGATCTCTTACAGCATAGCTGTTCTACATCCTGCCTTGGGAAGGGGGAGTTGGGGTGAAGGGCTATTGACAGTGTCCCCATGTGTAGCTTGGCGAGCTCTGAATTACTGTAGTCTCCCTCCCTGGCCTCTGGTGCTCTTATAATGGTGTGTGCTGCCGCCCTGCGTTCTATTGCTCTCTAAGACTTCTTCCCTCTTCCTTACCTAGCCCATAAGGACGCTGGCTGTGTGTCCCCACAGCGGTATGAAAGAGCTTCCTGGATGAAGTATTCTTTAGAAGAAGGCATGTCTGCGTTGAAATCCATTGAGTTTTCAAGCTCCAAGTGGAAAAAGTTAATTCCACAAGCTCCTATAAGTATTAATAGAAGCCCTCCTGTCAGGTATGGTTTTCTTAGTTTTTACAGAAAAATGAGATTTCAGAGACACATCATATACAGGCCCCCTACCTACACATTTTAAATGAATGCAGCTTGCTCTTAGCTTCTCAGAAGCTTTAGTATAATTCATCTTCTTATTCAGTGTATATCAACATGTGAGCGTGTGGACATTAATCTCAGCAGTTAGGAGGTGGAGACGGGATCAGGAGTTTCAGATCAGTCTAAACTGGGCTCTGTAAGACCCTGTCTTCAAAAATAAATTTTAAAAGAAAAGTAAAATGTGTATGTCTGGGCTTGTAACTTATTTATAGACTGTATGTTTAGCATGAGCAAGGCCTTAGATTCAGTCCCCAGAGTCTCTGCCTCCCAAGTTTTGACTGAAAGCATGTATCACCATAGCTAGTGAAAATTTTTTCTTAATAAAGTATATTCATGTATGATTATAAGTTAGTTTTTACATATAGGTGATTTGCCTACATGTATGTATGCGCACTATATGCATGTCTGGTGCCCAGGGAACCAGAAGAGGGCATCAGGTCCCATGAGCTAGAGTCACAGATGGTTATGGGCTGCCCTGTAGATTCTGGGAATCAAACCCAGCCCTCTGGAATAGCAGTCAGTGTTCTTAACCCCTGAGCCATCTCTTCCGTTCTTAACTTTTTGTATATTATAATTTCTTTGTGGTGCCCATCTTTTGTTGTTCTTCCTCAATTTTAGAAGCTCCAAACCAAAAAGTAGAAGGACACATTTTCTTGGCTAGGTTCCAACCAATTAGAGTGGTCCCATCTAATACATGGACTATAATAAGGAAAATCATTTAATTTAAAAAAAATACATTGATAGACAGTGGTGGCTCACGCCTGTAATCCCAGCACTCCACTCGGGAGGCAGAGGCAGGCGGATCTCTGAGTTCAAGGTCAGCCTGGTCTATAGAGTGACTTCCAGGAGAGCCAAAGTGTCACAGAGAAACCCGTCTTGAAAAAAAAAGAAAAAAGAAACTAACTTAAAAAACCCATAATATTATAAATTCTTTTTTGTTTTTTTCATTGCATTATATATTCTAAGTTCTTTTGTTGTTGTTGTTGTTGTTGTTTGTTTTTTAAGACAGGGTTTCTCTGTAACAGCCCTAGCTGTCCTGGAACTAGCTCTTGTAGACCAGGCTGACCTCAAACTCAAAGAGATCCTGCTTGTTTCTACCTCCCAAGTGCTGGAATTCAAGGCATGCGCCACCACCGCCCAGCATGTTCTAAGTTCTTATTTGTATTTATTATAAATTTTTTGAAGTACCATGCCTTCTGAGATTTTCTTTCCCTCAATTTACTTACATGGCCTCTGAGACTAAAGGACGTTCATAGAGGAGCGCTTTTGCTACAGGAACAGGGGTGTGTCTGTGTTCTGTAGTCCAAGCCAGCCTTAAATTTGCTCAAAAGCTGAGGTAGCTTAGGATAAATAAACCTGCACCCTGATCATCCTGCCCCACACTCAAGTGCTAGGACAAAAATAAGTTCTGGGGACCTTGAATAACACAAAATGTGTGTGCTCACCATTGTTTTTTGTTTTCTCCATTTGAAAAAAAAAATGTGCTTTAAATAGGAGAGGGAGCCAGCAGGGCACAAATCAGTAATCCTCTGTACTTTAGAGGTATGTTGTGCATATCATGATGGCATTGGTACTCTCCCTCTGTGACACTTGCTTTCTGTGACGGCTCTTAGGGATGTTGTGTGCTCCCAGTGTTTGTTGTGTTGTATTTAGTTTTGAGAGTGGGTGGCCCAAACTTTCTTTGTGACTGACAATTACTTTAAGCTCTTGACCCTTTCATGGTAGACAGACTCCTGGTGGCCTCTTTTATGACGGCACTAGTCCTTATGGCTGGCCTCACCTCTTTATATTAGTCTATTAGTTATTAGGATCTAACTTACAAATTCGGAAACACCACATTCTCACCATTGAAGTTAATATATCTGTTTACTAGCTCTGTTAATCAATTTTATGTTATAATAAAATATCTGAGGCTGCATATTTTATTTTATTTATTTATTTATTTTTGGTTCTTAAAGACAGGGTCTCTCTGTAGCTTTGGAACCTGTCCTGGAACTAGCTCTTGTAGTCCTCAAACTCACAGAGATCCGCCCACCTCTGCCTTCTGAGTGCTGGGATTAAAGGCGTGTGCCACCACCGCCCAGCGCATATTTTATTTTTGAAAAGCTTTATATGGCTACAAATTTGGAAGCTGAAACTAAGGTTAGGCAGCTCCCTCTCTTTGAACTCTGTTGATGCTTTTTTAGGGTATTATAACCTTTCAGATCGATTCACAGTGGCATTTAATTTGAATGTAACCCATGAGGGCCTAGAGAGGTATCTGTGGTTAAAAGTGTTTGCTGCTCTTCAGAGACCATATAGAGAGATGGGAAGCCAGAATCAAGGCGTCAAGGCAACTCTTCTGACGAGAACTCACTAGCGTGAACACTAACTTCAAAATAGAGTGTTGATATCTTCTGAAGAGCAGAGACCTAATTGCTGTGGTCACTGTCCTTCCTCGGGTGTGCCTCAGCAATATGACATAGAGACTGCACTTCCAGAGCCTGTGAGGGACACCAATCATATCTGAACCCTAGCATGCAGAAGGATGGCTCATTCATAGTATACTAACCAAGACTGAATAGATGTGAAACACTTTCCTCATCCTCTGGATGGATGTGACAAAGCCCTTGTTAGCAGAGGATATTCTTTGTAAGTAGAGAGAGAGGGGGGATGAGAGGGAGAGAGAGCTCACGAGTGCCTCATAAAACCTTAATAACAGTGTAATTCTAATGTAGTCGGGAAGTCAGGAAATCAATACTTTTGGGTGGGGGTTTTTAAGCTGAGACTTCATGTAACCCAGGCTGTCCTCAAACTTTCTGGGTAACAAAGGCTGGCCTGGTATTCCCAGTGTTCCTGCCTCTGCCTCTCAAGTGCTAGGATTATAGGCATGTGTTACCAGGCCAGAGAGAATCGTGTGTGTGTGTGTGTGTGTGTGTGTGTGTGTGTGTGTGTGTTGCTATGAGCATGTCAAATCCCCTGGAACTGGAGTTATAGACAGTTGTGACCTGCCATGTGGGTGCTGGGAATTGAACCCAGATTCTCTGGAAGAGCAGCCAGTGAACCATCTCTCCAGCCCCAGTTATTCCTTTTCTTTTCTTTCTTTCTTTTTTTTTTTTTTTTTTGAATACCTATTTTACAGATGCTAAACTCTTTATTTTATTTTATTTTGCATCAGGGTTGCAGCCCTGATTGGTTAAGTAGACTAAGCTGGTCTTGCCTTCTGCCTCTGCCTCCTGAGTGTTGGGATTAAAAGTGTGCACTACCATGACTGACCGGGTGCTACTGTATTTGCTCACTGTACATGGAAAAAAATTAAAAGTCTCATTTAATTATTCTAATATTTGGTATTACACCAAGGAATTTTGTTCTTAGTTTGCCTTATAGGGTATAAATCCTTATGTTGATAAACTCTTTGCATTGGCAGTGCTCTAGATGTTCTTAAGTATGAAGAAGTTGACATGGAGCTGCTGGCCAGTGCTGTTCCCGAGCCCCTGAAGAAGTATACTGCTTATAGAGAGCTGGCTAGAAGACTGAAAATAGAAGGTAAAAGGGAGTTGTTTTCCTGCGGTGCCTGTATTCTCTTTTCTGGATGTGCAGATTATGAATGCGCAATAGACCTATCTAACTACTTGCATGCCTGAGGATAATGCTGGCTTTAGGTTTTAGTAGGTTTGCCCTCCAGAGATACTAAGCAGTGAAAAGGACACAGAACGGGATCATTATGGGAATGGTGTACAGGAAAACACCTTTACTCTTTGGAGAACAACCAGGGTGGTAAGAATGGTGCATTCCATGCAAGGTTGGCGTTCTCTTTCAATTCCACAGAGGTCTATCAGTTTACCATGCTTTGGCTGTGTGTGTAGAATGGCCCATATGTTGACTGCCATTGCATTATATAATTTTATAAAAGACTAGCAATGAAAAGAAACCTGTCAGGAATTCTAGAAACATTTTTCCAAATGACCCATTACTAAAAAATTAAATTTGATTTAAAAAATAACCTTGATGGGGCTGGAAAGATGGCTCAGTGGTTAAGAGCACATGCTGCTCTTCCAGAGGACCTGAGTTCATTCAGTTCCCAGCACCCACGTCACACCAGTAAATTCGGCTTCGAGGAATCCACAGGCAGCTGCACTCGTGCACACACACCACAGATGCACACACACCACAGACGCACACACACCACAGACGCACACACACCAC